GGGAATACATTGTCAAGAGTTCCCTAGGAAGGGGTTTAGGAGAGATTGGTGGCCATTTGAATCACTTAAATGAATATCCACGTTAACAAGATCACAGATACTTGTAAACAGTTGAGTCCCCTTTCAAATCTATTATGCAGCAATCCCTCCTATTCGTTATTTCTGAGAAGCATTGAGTCCTACATAACTGAATTTTATAGATAATTGATTTCATGAATGTCTTTTTTAGGATATACTTTGAAAAAATTGAGATGATACTCATGAAGAAAGGAATAAAAAGGATTTATTAAGTGCTTGCTACATGCAGAGCATGCTGTTAAGCACTCAGGATACAAATCAACATATAAGATAGTGTCTGCTCTCAAGGAGCTCACATCCTAATAGGGGAGACAATACATATGAACAATTTTGGTTGCAGGTCAGGTGGAAAGGCCTTGTAGTTCTTACGGTGCAGCATCAAAACAGAGCATCATATCTCTAATGTCACTCCTGATAAAATTATATCAGGTTCTGATTTGAAATCATTTGATAGTGCCAAGGACATTTATGCCAAGAGCTTTCTTTTCTAGATTTTCAGTAACTATGAATGTAGGCCTGGCAGGAGCAGTTGCCAGGGGGCAAATCCACAGGGTTTATTTTCCAAGGTGATGGCTAAAGACACAACTGGAAGAGTTGCTATTCCCAAGGTTTTGGGGTTCAGGGTCTTGAGATACTTCTAGTAGTCTGAAAAATGTTGGTAGTCAAGGTGGTGGTTGTTTGACATGTCCCCTATCTCTCCTTTGCCCCTTCAGCAATGCTGGCTTGCCTCCTCTGTGGATACTAACTGCTCAGTAGTTGACCCCTTCTCCAAGTGCATTGTTTTCTCAGCTAATGACTGGGAGAACTAAACTGGAAACAAGACTGGTAGTCTAGAACAGGAGTGAGGGGGATGCTGTCACTCCCAGGGTAGCTCACTACCCCTCCAGATCAGTATCCTCTTAAAAAGAGTATACTACTGAATAAAATTCACTTTTTGATGACATAGGGTCAATTATTTAACTGAGGTACAATATATTGTTGTTCTCAGGAATCATGGAAAAGTATACGGTTGTTTGACCTTATACTAAATGTTCTCAGATGGTTTCGTTTTTTTGTGCTCTTGTCTTTTTATAGTTTTTCTTTCTCTATCTACCAATGACCACTTCCTGCCGCTCTTGGTAGTCAGTGAATTAACTCTAACGATTCTGAAAACAGCCTTTCAAATCTGCTGCTTTCAAAATACCGTAGGCTAGGAAACGAGATAATCAAGCTTAGTAGAACGGTGTTTGAAATAATAATTTAGAAGTTCCTGGATGGGACCCTTTGTAGATTCCTAGGAGCAGAACATAGACTTTGTTATATCCATTTTGGTTCCTTCATGCCTTTTTTTTTTTTTGCTCAACTCAAGTTACTAAACTGAATTATGGATAATTGTGGTTGGGGTTACATATTCTCTGGAAAATTGAGGTGTTTAAATATAATTTTACTCATTAAAAACATTCTGTAAGAATGTACAATTTTAAAAATTATTATTTTTACATTATTGAATATATTATTTCATTTTCTTTATATCTCTGGTGCATTGCATGTGACCTAGTAGTTGCCTGCTTGATTCATAATTCATGTTAAAATGTGAGAAAGCTTTTGAATCATTCACATGGAGAGGAATTTCTCTGGAAAAAGAGGAAAGAACCCATTCTGCCTCTTAAGGACATTTATCTCCCCAGTATAAAACACAAGTTTCCCAAGGGTAGCATCTTTTTAATCATTGCTTTTATATTGCTAGAACCTAGTATGTTTCCTTGAACATAATAGGTATATTCGAGTTTGTGTGGGTGTGTTTGTATGGGTGTATACACATATATATATATATATATATACATGCATGCATACATACATGTGTGTATATATTTATACATGTGTATACAGACATATCTGTTGTTGATTTTGTTTAATCAGAACAGCTAGTTGATTACATTCTTTGTGAATTAACAATGACAGAGGCCCTCAAATATGGAAGGTTTTTTAAGTGCTATTCAGCACACAAAAGAGATATAGCAACCTAGAGATTTTATTCTTAAGCATACAAAAAAGATGATGCTGGAGGTTTTTAATGACATGGTCTATGAATTATTTTTGAGAAAAAATTGTGAATTGTAGATTCTAAAACTTGCAAGCTATATTTTAGTTTTAAAGTGGTATTCCTATTTATATTTTTTCTTTCTGCGATATGTGAAGGATAACACATTCCCAGAGGAAAAATAAATGTGTAACTATTAGCATGAAATACTCAATGTTAGAATAAAACGTGTAAATAATTGATACAGCATTTATAATGACCGTGACATTTTTATGTTACATCTGCTATACCAACTTGGCAGCAATTAAGAGAAAAGATTATTTTCCTTTTGGTCAAAGAGAATCCTATTGTATAGAAAATTTTAAATCCTTGGAAATAACAGTATCTGTTATCTGTTGTGGATGGCTGCTTTTGTTTTCATCTGTACTAGAGAAATGCCAGCAGAGTATCAGGAGATACTGTACTGGAGAAATGCCAGGAGGATATCAGGAGGAACCTTATTGAAAGAAGAGACTGGGATTGTGTCCAAAATTAGAATGTAAGACATGTACCAGTATACCAGGAAGGAATTTTGATCAGGAAAAGTAGAAAGCATGCTGAATCCTTTTAATTACAGGAACACAAATGAGAGTCAAAATGCTTAATTGAAAAGTGAGGTGATACTAATGTCTTTGATACCTGGTATTAAGAAGGATGGAGATTGTCAGAAAGATGAATTTACCTAAGAGAAGCTACCAAATGGTGAGCCCTAGATAGAATCCTATCACTTTCACAAATAATGCCTAGAATGGGAATTTCATTTCATACTTTAAAAGATCTAATCATGACAAGGGAGGCCAGGAATTTGTTGTGACCTATCCTTCACATTATGTCCTATAAAATCCCCAAGTAATGCCTGTTATACTTATTTTTTATCAAGGGGTTGAAAACAAACTATCTCAGTCATTTAAGGAACTAAAATTTACTTAGTTTCCTGACAGGCTGACCATTTGTAGGGTTCTCTCTCTTCTCCCTTTTGTGTCTGTCTGTCTGTCTGTCTGTCTCTCTTCTGTCTTTTCCCCTCTTTCCTGTCATCAAAAGCATTCTGTACACAGGAATTTTTCATTAAAAAGTTGGCATTTATCTTGCTGCCATATTTATCTCTTGTTCAACAAGATATCTCACTAAGTTAAAATCACCTCAGCAAAATAAATGTCAACTTTTAAATGAAAACTATTGTCCCTGACAGAGGCAGGAGATTCATTTATACAGAATATTTGGGTTGTAAGAAGCCACAAACATCTTAGTGACTTCAGCAAATTCTTAGATTACATAGTATACCCCATCATGGACGTCTTAAATTAAATTACATTTTCTTTCAAGTGAGAGAGAGGCAGCATTGTGTAGATGCTGGACTTGAAGTCTGGAAAACCTGTTTTCAAATTCTGCTCCGGGCTTGATTAATTGAATGAGTCTGGGCAACATGTACAAACTCTCTGAGCCTCTGAGACTTTAAGTTATAAATGGCCTATAATCTTCCTCTGGTGGAAGGAGTTCTCACAATCAGAACTTATAAACCAATGAAATTACAAGTCCTTGACATAGGAGCTTTCAAATACTTATCTTCCAATGAAAAAAGTGCTCCCTGGTTGGTATTGCCACAATGAAAGAGACTTCATTAAAGTTCAAGAGTATTGGTTTCTCTGACCCTTAGAAACCAACTCATGGCCGTGTCAAGCACACACGTGAATACATGAAAGGGGTTATGATGTCATCAACATGGGAAACTTTCAGTGTAAAACCCTACCAGGTAGATGCTAACACTTCTATAACTGAGGAATTCCAGGTCACACAGCAAGTAAATGATAGATGTATGATTTGAACTCAGGTTTTTAGCACTCCCCATTACTCCCACACTACTTCTGTAGGTGCCACTGTTGGTGATAAATAAGAGCCAACTGTTGGATTTCTATGGCTATTCTATATTGAGATAAAGTAGTCCTACTTGCTAACTTTCAACTTGGCTGGAAGTAGAAAGTACTAGACTCAGTGGAGATAGAACCCTACATAGTATATTGTACAGAGAGGTACAGAGAGTTTGTTTCCCACGCAGCACCCTCTTCCTAAGCACACAAAGTCTGTTCATTTTGGTTAAAAGAAGAGGTCTCTCATCAACGTGAGAAAATCCTTCCCACTGTTGCAAATGGGCAGCTCTCCTCTACCTTATGCTCTTAAAGAGTTGACTAGTACACTTTGAGGTTAATGGACTTGTCGGTAGTCAGTATTAGAATCAAGGCATCACATAATTTTGAGAGTTGAAAAGGAACAAAGCGGTAATCTTGTCCAACCTACTCTACCATACATAACAAATTTTGTCTACTCTCTGCTAAAAGTCTACCACAGAGGAAGAGTTCATCACTATCTGAGGCAGGCCATTCCACTCTTGGACAGCTTTAATTGTTCGGCAATTGTTTCCACATCAAGCCTAAATTGACTTCTCCGCAGCTTCTACCCATGGCTCCTGGTTTCACACCCTATAGTCAAAAAGAAGAAGACTAATTTCTTCTCCATGTAGTACCTCTTCAAAAAATTAAACACAGTTAACACATTTGCCCTGAGCCTTCTCTTCTCTGGGTCTTTTTGACATCAAGTTTGGCCCTTTATCCATTTCTCCCTGTTGTTCCTTTTTTAATTGCTAAGCAGGAAAAGTGGATGTAACCCTCACCTGGGACAAAGAAGCAAGTGAGCCTAGTGATCCCCTAAGGAGACTGAAAAAAATAGCATTTGAAAAATAGTGGCTTTAACAAGAATAAATACTGCTTTCCTTTAGCCAGACTTTTTTTTTAATGGATTGAGCTATGCCCCTAATCTGAACAGATGGACAATAAATAAATAACACAAAGACAAGCCTTAATTCACTCACAGCATGCTGAGGGGTCTTCATCACTATGGTCAGAGCAGTCCTGCTGGTAATCACATACGGACTCATGGGGGATGCACTGGCCACTGGCACAAGAGAATTCTTCTGCTCGGCAAGGACGTTGCATCTGTCTTTCTTCACAGGCATAGACCTGGATGCTATCCACGGCTATAAAACTTGCCTCGCTCTGTGTAATCCCTTCAAAAACAAACTATCAAAATCGAGTTTTAAACTTTTAATGAACACAAAATGAGTCTTTTAAAAAATCACTTATAAAATTAGGAGTGCTAATACAGCCTCTGAGTAATAAAAAATGATGCAGGATGGGCATTCCCTTCATATTTATGCTCTATTCAACATTACAACATAAAGTTTTTGCAAGTAGGAATTGTCTCATTCTTTGTACTAATGTCCCTGGTGACACCTAAGTAGCTTGGTGGGCACAGTACATACTGCATAGGATATGAAGTCACGAAGACTTGAGTTCAAATCTAGCCTCAGACACACTAGCTGTGTGACCCTGAACAAGTCACTTAACCTCTGTTCACCTCAGTTTCCTTCACTGTAAAATGGGGCAAATAACAGCACCTACCGTACAAGGTTTGTTTCTGAGGTTCAAATGATTTAATATTTGTAAAGCACCTAGCACATACTAGTGGCCAAATGAATGCTTAT